CTCTCTTATTTTGTTATTCGGGGAGTTGAATATTGAATGAAATAAGATATCGTGTTTTCTTTTGGGAGAGTATCCCGTGTTCTGGAGAGAGTATCTCCTTGTATCCTTTTATCTTCCCATTTGTACACGCTTCCTCTACATCAACTCCCTCGTAGTCTAGTCAACACTATACCCGATTCTATCAACTACTTCTCTGGCCACGTCTCGTGGACTTTACACACTTGAATCCTTCGAGCAAACCCGATACTTAATTTTGTAAGCACTCAAAAAGTGTTCGTAAAAAGAAAAAGAAACTAAACAAACTCAGTTCGTAAAAAATGTAAGAACGCTAAAGTGCTGGGACGAACAAAATAAAAAGAATAAAAAACTCTCAAACACTCAATTGAATATGATGATGAATGATTATTACATCAACTCTATTGTCTTCAATTGACCGTTTGAGTGGGCTTAAATACAATCTCCTTAAGGTAAGGAGTTTTCACAAGTTTCTCCTTTTCTTTTTAGGAGTCAATTTCATTCTCAATTGATTCCTTTCTGATTTGGATGAAATCTTCATTAATAAGTTTCACTGATGTAGAATTCGTGTATGTGATTTGGAGATTTTCAGAATTGAGCTTCCAATAGAAATCTTGTGTTCCCAATCTAATGTAAGAACACGAGAGAGAGAAAACTAATTATGTCATAAAATCAAACTTATTAAAGCATGTGTCATATATGGTAAGTAAATATATAAGATATATATTATGTAATCCTTCTCCTAAAGGATCAAGGTTCCATAATACATATTATAATAAATATATACCATATATTATAAATAATAAATATTAGGAACTTAAATAATTCACAAGTAAATAAATAGAAAATTTATCTTTAATCTATTTTGCTTGCTTAACAATAAATCTTCTAGAAAACACATAGGTTTGTCGTGAGTTGACTTGCCGTGGTTGTCTGCTTTGGGAACGGTGGTCTTGCAGTGTTTTTTCTGTTTTGTTCTAGGTGTTTTGCTTGTGTGTTGACTGTGTTTTTTTTTTCTCTCCCGTTGGGAGTGTTTTTGTGTATTATCCTGTTGGGAGCTGTCTATTCTCCTGTTGGGAGCTTTTGCTTGTGTATTCTCCTGTTGGGAGCTGTCTATTCTCTCGTTGAGAGTTTTTGCTTGTCTATTCTTCCGTTGGGAATTCTTGTTCGTCTTTTCTCCCTTTAAGAGTGTTTAGTGTGTGTCGTGGTAGGTCTGGTTCTAGAGTGCTCGGTTGTGGGTGTCTCTCTTATTAGAGCCAGTTAGCTCTCAGGTTATATTCATGTACATTTTGTGCTATATAATATTATCTATCGTTTCGACTAAAAAAAATACTTAGGTTTGTCGAACGATGCTAAATCAATATTCGTACAGAGTTGCGATGGCTCGATGCTAGTTTCTAAGTGATAATTTTGTGGTATTTTGTATGAGGTCTGAGCGACAAATCCATCAACCAAGCGCACTTTGATTTCATCTCAAAAAATGAGGTTGCTGGAACATGGCAAGGCTCTGATTGAGCACAAAAAATTATGGTTCGCTGCTGCTGAAATTATTGTTATTATTACAGTGCTGTCTGGGATCAATTTAGCTATTGTCCGGGCTCATTTTGTAATTGTTCGAGTCTCTAGTGTTGTTGTTAAGACTGTTGCCGTTGATCGGGTGCTACTTGAGTGGGGTCCGCAAAGTTTTGCTCTTGTTCGGGCTCATTTTGTGGCCTGAAAATTGATCTGGGTTGCACTTCCACGTAGTAACTCTAAAAAGTGTCCTCTCTTGAGACGGGCGAATACCCAACAGTAGTACAAAGTTAGGTTCCCGTCGCCCGTCGCTCCACCCCACACATTTGTAAGACGAGTGTCAAGAACTTACTTTTTTGTATTTTTCTTTTTTTTTGTAATTTAAAATATAGAAATCAGAAGAAAATTTGATGAAGAAGACAGAAGTTGGGGAGGGAGTAGAGAGGAGAGAGAAAGAGAAGATTGTTGTGACTGCATTCTGTTTTTCATTTCTCCCACATGATGCCTTTTACATGTTTTGGAATCACTCGGGCAATTACATAATAATACTTAATAATGAGAAATGTTACAATCTCGTTACGAAACTATTATATTGGGATTTGTAATCGTTAGATCATCATGTAACCGTCGTGGATAGTTGATCTAACTGTTACAAATTCCGACGGAATAGTTCCGTAACGCGACTGTAGAATCTCCCCTTAATAATACTGAGTGGACTAGCTATAAAATGGACTAGGAAATTCCATGTTATCGTAGCCCCCTTGCCGGGACGATCCAGCAGATTGGCGGTGACGATATGGTAATCGTGTATAACGGGTGATTTATTTAAAAAAAATACAGAAATTAAGTGGACAAAAAAAAAAAGAAAAATAGGAGTGGACAAGCATAAAACACACGTATTCCTTGAATACGTTTTTCAAAAAAAAAATTAATTAAAAAAACGTATTCCGTGAATACGTTTTCATTTAAATGTTTTAATTAAAAAAAATCGTAAACAATTTTCAAAATAATTTTTGTTAAATAAAAAAAATAAAACAAAAACCGTATTTAAGAAATACGTTTTTAAGAAAAGGTATTTACTAAATGCGTCTTAAAAAAAACTATTTTTTTTTAAAAAAATTCATTTAATCAAAACGTATTTAAGGAATACGTTTTACATTTAAATGCACAGAAAACGTATTCCTTAAATACGTTTTGCGTAAAATATATTAAAAAAAAAAATCTCTCTTCTCCATTCATTACGCGAGCGAGCAGCAGAGAGGAGCTACTGAGAGCATTTTGAAGAGCGAAAATACTTGAGAAAAAAAAAACTCGATCCAATCTTCACTCTAACGTGAACCGACAACAGCGACACGAGCCTTATTTCCGGTTAATTCATTCGCACGAGGTATATTGGTTTATCTTAACTTTTTATATTTTTTTGGAGTTATTTGGAGATTGATAATTGTTATAATATGTTTGAATGTGTTGGTGTTTGAAACTTGAAATTGCTAATTGATTAATGATTATGTGTGTATGTTGAATTGGATATTGAAATATTATGTGTTAATTGTCAATTGTGTAATTGTTTGGTTGTTGTTGTGGTTAGGGTTTTTTGAAATTAGGGTTTCAATTTATCGAAATTATAGATGATTTATATGTTATTGTTCGATAAGGGGATTATTTGATAGAGAATGATTTTTTTTTATGGTTTTTTGGTTGAAAGTGAATTATATGTTATTGATGGATTATGAGTATTAGGGTTTGATAAATGAATTCGTGATTTTATTTTTAACAGGTATAAATGGCGTCTGCCGGACTACCATACTTTGTTAATGTGTATTGGAATTATCCCAAAGAGGTTTTAGATTCATTTTCAGATTTTATAAACCGTCCGGATGGTTCATTTTGCATTGGGGAGAAGATATCATTTCAACAATTTGTAGATATACTTTATGAAAATTTTGGTTTCCGTCGAAATGGTTTGACAATTGAGGGGATTAGTTTACTGACAAACCGACCCGATGGTTCGTGGAATATCGGAAACATGAATACTGATAGTGCCTTTGAGTGGATATACTATTTTCCTGCTTTCTCCTATGTGTATTTGCATTTAGAGTTGAAGCAGGTTACGCAGGCACCTGCAGTGATTACACAGTTTGAGGATGTTCCCCCTTTTTACGGGGGAGTGCCTGATTTTGAAGGTACATCCACTTCGCATGTTCGTAATTTTGGCGAAGGGACAAGCACAACAGCCAGAGAAGAACCCGATGATGATTTCATTCTTGATGAAGACGATTTCATAGATGATACATCGGAAACGGAATCGGATACATCAATAAGCGAGGAGAGTGATCCAGAGTTTATTGAAGAGCACCCATTTCCTAGTACC